CTCAGTCGGCTAAGGACTGGGCAGTCCTTGTGTTGCTGCTGTTGTCTGGAGGATCAGGGAATGCTGATCTCCATTCCAGATTCTGTGGCTTAAGTATGTATGTGCTGTGTAAGCGCACAGGGAATGAGGAGAGCCTGCTGTCTAATGAGCGCAGACATGGCTCTGACCTAACCTGGGAAACAATGCTGAACTTCAGGTTTCCGAGTCATGCTGCTATTGGCACTCTCCCTCCAGAAAGTGAGCTAAGCAAATGAGCGATATACCATGACATGTCATTCTGTGTATCATGTCACTCCGGGATCACCATTGTGGTTATATGTAAACTCACGGTTAGCCAAATTAACTCTCTATTGGTGGAGCTTATAAAGATATTCATCAGTCAGAACCTAGTATGTTGTGGTGACCATCTTGTGACGAGCTTCACACGGTAGAGCCAGGTTCATGCTGTTTGGCTATGCTGCGCCTGCTAATCACTGCGAAGCTCTCCAGACCTGACTAGTAATAATAATAATGATAATAGGTAAATCAACAGTAAATGCTCACAACAAACATATAAGAATTGATAAAGATTTTCCAGGACAGGCAAAAAAGCCCTCAAGTATTATCTTCCATAAGCCTCCATGAGATACATCACAGCTGGCCCATTTAAGCTGTGGAGTCCAGAATCACAGGACACTCATTGGCTAGGCTTTGAGCATTGAACACTCTTATAAGTTCTGCCAAGAAAGAGTTAATTTTACTGTGTCTACCTGTAACCACAAAACTCTCTTTTTATGGCAGTATTAGGTTCTTGTGGTCACATGTGGATAGGGACACTGGATATGGCAGTACAATTAAATTGCGAACATTTGATAACTTTATTATCGTCATTAGTAATGATGACAAACAGTAATTCAGAATAAGGATTTTCTAACAAACGTTTTGAGTATAATCAAGTTTACATTTAGTTATAAGTTATTGGTGGTAAGGGTTAGTATAGCTTGCTCTGAGGGCATTTGTTGTGGTCATTCCATTCTGGGCACAGATCAGAGTTGGTACAGGTGATAACTAGTAAGAGTACTGGGTACCATGGGAAGTTGAGGGTGAGTAGAGAGGAGAGGCATTGAACTTCCTCTCCTTCTTCGTCCTCAATATTGATGGTGCTATTTTTATTATAGTCATTTTGATTACTGTAATGTTCTTGACATGAGTAACAGCTATATAAGATAGATAAAATATCATAATCAAAGAAAAGGTAACCAGGTGAAAAAGGTAGTACTTGTAATTGGCTCATTAGTGACTTGGTACAAGTGGAACCAGTAAACTCACAGTGGATATACATACCATGCCCGTCAGGTTTGGGTTAAAATGGATAAAAAATATCTGTTGGTTAGTTTTTGTTGGAAATGAGAAACCCATCACTAACAGAAATGAGAAGAGGAAATTTTTCTGAAACTTCAACCTCAGTTTAATGTGTTTTATTACTTGGATAACCTTTGTCATTCCTCTTTTTGATTGTTTATGCTTTTAGTCTCAGAAGTTAAAAGAGTAGAGATTAAGAATTTATATAAAAGCAAACAAGTAATACTTAGTTCAAAATAAAAAAGTCGTTTAAATAGCTTGCTGTAATTATGGTTATTTGCCTGTTTTAGATGGAATAATATGACAATTTGATTTCATTGTGTCACATTTCAGAAGACTGCTGAGTTTGGACCTCACGAACTGAAGCCATCTCCAAGATGGCGATGGAAAGCAAAGCTCCCCTGCGGACTGTCCGCAGGATACAGTTCGGCATTCTGAGTCCAGATGAAATTGTAAGCACTTGGATTTTTATTAGTTAATTCTATTCACAAAAGCTTCAGCTACAAAAAAAGTATATCACTGATTGGGATCTATATTGCAAGCCATCCAATCAAAGAATAGAATATATCAATATCTGTTTTACCCCCCCCCCCCCCCCCCCCCACAGCGTCGAATGTCAGCTACTGAGGGAGGTATCAAATATGCAGAAGTTTATGAAAATGGTCGCCCAAAATTGGGTGGCTTGATGGACCCTCGTCAAGGCTGCCTGGATAGGAACACACGTTGTACAACATGTGCTGGAAACATGACAGATTGTCCAGGGCATTTTGGACACTTGGACTTGGCAAAACCAGTCTATCATGTTGGATTCTTGACTAAAACAATGAAAATTTTACGTTGTGTTTGTTTCTACTGCAGTAAACTTCTCTTCAATGCTGTAAGTCACAACTATTTGTTATTCTAAATAGGATAATAAGGTGTGAATTAGATTAGATATGCTTCTAATTAAATAAAATGTCCTTGATTAACAGGATTATCATATGGTAAAATATTAAAATGACAATAATATTTAACCTGAGAATTTTAGTAGTTCATGTTGTACTTCCTCTACAGCAATACCCTAAAATCAGAGAAATTGTCACAAAGTCAAAGGGTCAACCCCGCAAGCGTCTTCAGCATGTTTACAACCTGTGCAAAGGCAAGATGATTTGCGAGGGGGGAGATGAGATTGATGTGGGCAAGGACCCTGATGATCCTGGTGCTCTGAAGAAGGGGGCAGGCCATGGAGGTTGTGGTCGCTACCAGCCCAATATTAAGAGAATTGGCCTTGAATTGATTGCTGAGTGGAAGCATACCAACGAAGATACACAGGAGAAGAAGCAGACCCTCAGTGCTGAGCGAGTTTATGAGATTTTCAAACACATTACAGGTTAGTTGGTTTATGCATTTACTTGTTATTCGGATATTTTTTTTCTCATATTTGGAATGAGTAAAATTTCATGGCACAATAGATAAACCTTTCTCTTTCACTTATTAAAGAAATTTCAATATATGAAAGCATTTATTATTCATACTCAGGAGGCTATTGAGGATGATTTTTCTTATGTACTTCAATTAGTTATTTATTATTAAAGTGTAATAAAAGCATTCTTTCACTTAAGGAGCACTTGGATATCACCAAAATAACTCTTGGGTTTACATCATTCTTGGTACTTGGCAGTTTCTCCTCATCTTGAGTTAACACCACTCTCCTTGTGGGTGAGCAGTCTTGCTCTCTGCACTGTCTTTGAATTTTCCAGTTTTTGTTTATTTATTATTTATTTATTTTTTTTCATCAATTTTATTGATTAATTTAATTTATTTATATATTATTTTTTAAAATTATTATTTATTTATTATTGTTATTATTATTATTATTATTATTATTATTTTTTTTAAGCTTTTTGTTTTGTAAGGATTAACCCCTTCGATATGGTTGCATCATGGCAATAACATGACCAAAAATCCAGGCATTAGGCTTACATGAGTGACTCCTGTAGGTTAGACGCACGCAAATGCTTGTGTGCAGTGACAAGGTTCTATCCCTCCTATTTACTGTGTTATGTTTTCTCTGATGCATAAGCCTTTTTAGCATTTTTGCCACTTTCCAGTGTCTATATTTGTCATTTGATTTGCATTACCCATTAATTAACAGTAATTGATTGTTTTCTTTGCACAAATTATGCCTCACGGGCATTACATTCCACACTCGTTTATCGATAAGAATAATGCAAAATCGCCAAAAGAGTCTAATTGCCCTCCCAAGAGGTTTGTGCACTCGTGGCAAGTCTTTCCCATCACCCTGGCCTTCAGCCGAAATGTTCATGAGGGCATGTTCATGTCGCCCACCCCTCAAGCCAAATTTTTTCATGACATGGTCACAACATCTTGATCGAAGGGGTTAAGTTGTAGGATACGTCTCATTTCAGGTGTCCCCTAATAATTCTGTGATTTTCAAAATCATATTTCCTTGTTAACACTACTTTAGAATTGAAAAGCTAATAATTCTGTGATTTTCAAAATCATATTTCCTTGTTAACACTACTTTAGAATTGAAAAGCTAAAGTTAATTTGATTTTATCTATACTAATGGTTAGGTGTGTGATATTAGTAGCATGCACTAAAGTTCCTAACCTGTCTGTCATTGCCTTTTGAATTTTGAATTGCATCACATTGAGCATTCTAGCATCACTATATAAAACAGTGTTTTTTTTAGCAGGATGCATTTGTATTAAACAATGGAAGTTGCCATCTTTCAAAATAGCTTTTGTTTTGGTGATTAACTACTAATTCATATTGACCAAAGGTTTATGGGAGTGTACATGACCAACTGAATTTGCTAATGTTTATTACAGGGTATTTTATTACAAGGGCAAATTGAAGGTTGCAAAGCTATTACATACTTGTATTTTCATGTGACTGCTTACATATCTGTGAACTTTAAACAAGTGAATCAGTGTCAGACTTATACCCTTTTCAGAATAAGATGTGATAAGTTACCTTTTTCTATCGGTTAAGCTGAAAATACGTAGGTTTAAATATTTTTACTTTTAATTTTTAAAAGTTATTATTAACCCATCATCGCTGGGTAACAGAAATCCCAGAGCATGAGAAACTCTGGTGATTTCTGGCAACATCCAGACACTGGGCGCAGGGGTCCGTCACATCAAGCAGAACATCCCGCTCCATGTGCTCTGGCACGTTGCCACACGTACAGGCGTACCCCGCAGACCAAGTGGTTAAGACGCCAGTTGACGTGACCCATCCGGATCGGGTTAAGAGTGCATTCCATTTTATTCACATGAATACTCCTTTCACAGATGAGGAATGTTACTTGCTGGGTATGGATCCCAAGTATGCGCGCCCTGACTGGATGATCTTGACTGTTTTACCTGTGCCACCACTGCCCGTACGACCAGCTGTAGTAATGCATGGGTCTGCTCGTAACCAGGATGATTTAACGCACAAACTGGCAGATATCATCAAGGCGAATAATGAGCTTATCCGCAATGAACAGGCTGGTGCTGCTGCCCATATCATTGTTGAGAACCTGAAGATGCTACAGTTCCATGTGGCTACGCTGACAGACAATGACATGCCTGGATTGCCAAGAGCCCTGCAGAAGTCTGGAAGGCCACTCAAAGCCATCAAGGCCAGGCTTAAGGGTAAAGAAGGAAGGA